GGGCTGAAGAGAAGACCCAATGACGTACGAGGTGCCCGTAGCCTGAAAGTGAAAAACAAGTACAACATTCTTGCATGGACCTCCCCGTAACCCTAAACCCTAAACCCTAAACCGAAGGCCTTTGCAGTTCAGGTTTTTCCGAGCGGACATGCGCCGTGCGGGCTTGCAGTGGAAGCGGCAGCAAGACCCTGGGCTTCAGGAAGTTGCAGGGGGTCCTAAAAAGGATCCTTTAAGGAGCCTTCAAGGGCCCCTTTAAGGGATCCTAAAAGGGATCATGTAAGGGATCCTCTAAGGCGTGTGGGCCTGCAAATAGTGCGGAAGATTTGCTGGATTGCTTGCCGATGCGCTTTGCGTTCTCATGACTCTCATGGTGGGGACTCCTATACTATTCGTGCTGGGAAAGAAGACAATCCATGTCTACTTAGGATCATAAAGCCGGTGGACATTTTGGGTGAGGGGCTGCAGGGCTGCGTCTTAGCATTTAAACAACAAGGCAATAAGGAGAACAGAGCTGAATCAAAGGTCCAAGCTAAGGTGCACGAATGCGCACACTCCGTCCGAAGAACCCGACCCCAATCTAAACCCGTAAACCCTAAACCCAAATCCATCATCCTGATCCCGTCAGAACCTACGACCCCTTTCGTCTGCCGCCCAAGCCCCAAGACGTCTTCTTTGTGCCGTAGACACCACTCCCTGAACTAAAACCGTATGCTCTACGTCTTCACAGCAACAGTAGATAAGTTTGCCCCCAATTTGATGCCACAGAAGCTCGCCATCCAACCCTAAGCCGTGAACAACTGTCTGGTGCTTAGTAGGGAATGGGGGAATGGGTTATAGGGACTACTATAAGGGACCTTAAGGGACTATCATAGGGATACATTCCCAAATTCCCTACTAAGCACCAGACAGACAACTCTTTCATAGGATTGCTGCCCCGTGGCCGGGCAAAAGCCAGCCCAGGGCTGGATACCTCCCGCAGGGTTTAGGGTTTAGGGTTTAGGGTTTAAGGTTTCGGTCTTTGTTGTGTTCGTTATAGTTCGTACTGCTGTGAGTACGGCCTTTATGGCAGTGTAGTTTCCCAGAGAGCCCAATGCCAATACCCCTTTTTTCTAAGGAATATACCTTAAATTCGAGGGGCCTCGATATTATGATTTAAGGTATATTCCTTTTTTTAAGGGGTATTGGGCTCTCTGGGTTTGGTTCTACTTTTACGAGGTGTTGCAGGGCTTAGGGTTTAGGAGAGTTCAGCTTCGAGGCCTGATATGTTGGGTACTGCCCCCATACAGCAACAGTCTATAATAGGGCTACAATTAAGGGCCTATTATATCCATAATACAAATATTATCCGACTGTTACTGAGTGGGGGCAGTACCCAACTGATATGTACAGTCATAGAGGGCGAGGGATTCAACGGCATGTGAAGGGGGGATGCATGGTGCCGCGCTGCTAAGCCTCCTCGGCTATAGAAAGATAGGCGATAGATAGATAGATAGATAGATAGATGGTTAGATAGATAGATAGATAGGTAGTTGGATAGACTGGTAGGTAGATAGATAGATAGATGGGTGGATAGATGGATAGTCAGTTAGTGCATGAGTTAGTGAGTGAGTTAGTTAATTAGCAAGATGACCAAACAGATCGATGCACCGGCATACAACTGTATATACGTGTGAATACAGAAGCGTGCAATCAAATGAGTATCTATGCATGTATGTACGTATGTATGTATGTACGTACGTATGTATGTATGTATGTATGTATGTATGTATGTATTTCTGTATGTGTGTATGTGTGTATGTATGTATGTATGTACGTACGTATGTATGTATGTATGTATGTATGTATGTATATATATGTATGTATGTAT